AATGGAGTAGGTGTGGCAGAGACCATGTGGCTCACACAGCCTCAAATATTTACATTTGCCAGTCCCTGATGTAAATGATCCAATCTAAAGGAGGGGATTGATGAAGCAGGAAGGCAGGGGACTTGCTGGCTACAGGAGGGGTTGGCCCTCATGGAAGCGCAGATGGGGAGCTCAGGAGGAGAGAAGGGTGCTGGCAGGCGCGGATGCAGATGGACGGCACGTGTAGTGGTGGCTGCCTCTGGAAGTCCTCTGCTGCTTGCTTTTCTTCTCAAGGTCTTCAGTTGACAATGAATTTGGAGGAGGGGGCGTTGGTGGTTTGGGGAGAGGAAGTGTGAAAATTCCTAGGACAGTGCAATGGTGAAGCGTTGAGGGAAGCACAGAATGATTGCTGGGCTTCCGTTTGAGATCTAGATCACAAATTTAAAGCAAGATCAGTCAGCGAGGTTTTGTGTTTCTCCCTCTTTACCCCGCTGCCTGTGTGCAGGGGTGGGGTAGGAGGAGACGTTGGATCTAGCTAGGCTTGTGGCTTAGTGAAGGGGGAGGGTGTCGAGGCAGTGAAGGGTGCAGACAGGGAGTGGTGATAATCACTGTCCGCAGAATTTGAGCCGGGCGTGGAGGGAAGTGACACATGGTGGTGATGGACAGTAAAAAGCTGGTAGGACCCACAGGTTGGAGGTCCTGTGGGATTCAAGGGTCCCTGGGCAGCCATCTTCCCACAACCTGCTCTTGCTGCTGTTATGTCCCAGGGGTGGCATGTTGGCTGCCCAAGGCAGGGCCTGGCTCCCATCACCACTCCAAGTCCATCCTGTGCCTAGTTCCTTCTTCCTCCCACATCTCTTCATTGGGTGATGACCACGACATCCTCCAGAGAGGACCTCAGCCCCAGCGGTCTCACTGGTCTATACTCAACGGGCTGCTGGAGTGACCTTTATATCACCCAAATTTGACCATGTGACCTCCTTGCTTAAAACCTTCGAATGGTTCCTCCATGCTAGAATCCTTACCTGGGCACATAAGACCTGGTTATTAGTCAGGGTTCTCCAGAGAAACAGAAGCAATAGGCTGTACATAGATGCACAGAAAATGAGCTATCAGAAGAGACTGGCTCATGTGATTATGGGGATGAGAAGTCCCTCAATCTGCCATCTGCAAGAAAGAGGCCCAGGAAAGCCAGTGGTGTAGCTCCACTTAAACCTGAAGGCCTGAGAGCCAGGAGAGCCAATGGTGTAAATTCCAGTCCAAGTTTCAAGGGCCAAGAACCAATTGTGGTGCAGGGGGAGTCGATGTTCAAGGGCAGGAGAAGATGGATGATCCAGCTCAAGCAGAGAGAGCAGTCTTCCTCCCTCTACCTTGTTCTACTCAGGCCCTCAACAGATCAGATAATGCCCACCCACTATGGTGAGGACACTCTTCTTTCCTGAGTCTACTAATTCCAGTGCTAATCAACATACCTAGAAAGAATGTTTTCCCAGCTATCTGGGCATCCTTAGCCCAGGCAAGTTTACAGATAAAATTAACCCTCACAGCCCCCACTCCCCACTCAACACTCAGGCCCTCCAAAGTCTACAGTCACCTGGACACATCTGAGCATGGTTCTCCCACACCAAACTCAGCTGTTTGCTGATGGACTGTGTCTCATTCTCTATTTTACTCAGTCTCACCTTTAGTAGGCACTCAATAAATATAGGAGCTATTGAACAAAAGCATTGAACTTGAAGTTAGAGGACCCGGAATTTAGGCCCTCTGTGGTTTACTTGTTTAAGGCAATTGCCTTTCCCTTTCTGGGTCTTAGTTTCCTGGATTATACAATGGGGCTGATTTCTGGCCTGCCTGTTGCACGGGTAGTGATGAGGGTCGGGTGAAGTCTCAGGAAATGTGAAAGTCACATGGAGGTCTGCCTTAGGTTGGGTTCCCAAGGGAACAGTCTCCAAAGTGGAGGTCTATGAGTAGATGACTTACTTATTTGACTTATTGGCGTCAACATAGGAGGGGGAGTGAGAGAAGCAGAGTCAGGCAGAGGAGGGTCTGAACTGTGATACAGTCATGACAGAGGCCCCAGCTGGTCCTGTGGGAGCTCCATAGCTGGGGTGGCCCTAGAGTCAATCCAAATTGAGGCGGAGGGGCCAGGTCTGTGTTCCTCCCATTTATCAGTAATTAAATATGGATTGCCTTTGGGGAACGGTATGACCCTAATCAAGGCTGCTTCCTTGGGCTAAGAGCAGCTCCCAGAAAGAGGCTCAGCCATCAGCAGCCAACACTCCCAACAGCTAAACCACTGGTCTAATCCTGGTAGACTGGACGGCCCACCACAGCACCCACAAGCTGTGGTGCTTTATGGCTGTCAACAAGCCCGGAACCAGTGGCAGGGATCCATGTTACACATTCAAAATCTCTGCCCCTGCCTTAATGACCTGCCTTCTTGCCCCCCACATTCCTATCCCCTGTCCTCACTCAGATCACTCCAGCCACACTTCACCCCTTCCTGTTCCTCAGATGCTCCATGCACAATCCCGTCTCTGGGCCTTTGCCTCTGCTGTTCCCTCTGCCTGGAAAACACTTCCTCCAGATACCAAAGGATTCATTTTCTTACTTCCTCCAGATACTACATGACTCATTTTCTTACTTTCCTCTGGGTCTCTGCTCAAAGTCCCCTCAAAGAGAGACCTTCCCTGATCCCCTGGTATGAAAAGACCACCTTCCATCACTCTCTGTCCCCTTGCCTTACTTCATTTTTCTCCCAGCATTTATCACTGCCTGTTACATATTTTGTTTTTCTATTGATTTTTTCTTCCACGAGAAGTTATGCCCCTCTAGGGGTGTGCCCCATGGGGATGGAGCAGGGGCACCACCCACTCATGCCAGAAGCTCTGTCTCCAGCCCAACCCTGGGATGGCAGCTTGCTCAGTGCTGCTGCTGAGTGGGTGACAACTCTGATGGTTACAACCTTTAGCCAAAATGCTGCCGACTCCTCTGGTCTTGGCTTGTCAGTCATTGACTGGTTTTATCCTTGAGCAGACCTGTGTCATGCACCTTCTGGGTGCCAGGCCCCCAGGTGATTGGTGGGGAGGGATGTGGAGGCGGGTTCATACAGTCCCTTACAGGAAAGCAGCATTCATGAGCCAGGCTCAGAGCTGGGCACCAGAGGGGCTATGAGCAGGCTTTGTCCTGGGGACTCATTTGTTGGCCCCGCAGCTGCTCTGTGCCCACCTGTAGCTTGGTTTCAACATCCGTCCACCTAATTGTTACTCAGCCTCCCCTTTCTAAGAGAGGGTCCCCACTTTGTGGTGTTTCCCTTCTTCTGGTTGCCTTGATCTTGACCCCCTTCTGCTCTCAGAGCCCCCCCCCCTCCATCTGTCACTGTGTTCCCTCCCCAGGCATTTGCACTCACCTTCCTCCAGCAGGTGGAGCGGGCTTTGTGCCAGGAGGCCAGAGTTCACACCTCAGATCCTCTACATCCTGACTATGTGACCCTCAGCAAATCACTCCGCTTGCTCTGAATCCTTGTGAAACTTTCTGACCTTCCCTCTCCACCCCCAAACCAGAGGTGATATCACCCTTATGACACCTCTCATATTACTTTCTTCACCTCTCTTGTGGCCCACACTGAGTGGCAAAATTGCACAGTAGTGAGGAAGCAAATAGCTCTGGCTGTCATCCTAATTGGTCAACATTGTCAGGGTGGGGACTACAGCACATCACGTGCAGTCAGTCCTGGCCAGCCAGAGCACAGGCTTCATGTGGCCAGATCTCTGTTAGTTTTTCAAGAGAAATTACAAATGCAGATTTGCACATGAAACCACTCACTTCAAAATATTGGCAACAAATTCAATAATAATAATGATTTAAAGCTCACTGTGGGAACCAAATAAAATACATTGAAAGTCCTATTTGACCCTAGGGCTACCAGCTTCCTATGGCTTCATGGGCATCAGAGTGTGGGTTTGAATCCCAGCTCTGTTCCTTACTTCAACCTTGACCTTGGCCAGGTGCAGTCTCCACTCTGTGCTTCAAGTCCCTCATCTGTGAAATGAATATGGTAATAGCTAACATTCATTGAGAACTTCCTGGGTATCAGGTGCCATTCTTTCTATGCATTAATCTTTCTAACTTCACAGTAATCCAATGAAGTGAGGACTCTTATTAGCCCAGAGTCTGAGAACTGTGGTTAGCCCAGTCAACCTGGCTCTAGAGGTGTCCCTGTTAACTGCTAGTCTGGCCAACTTTGTTGCAAGGATCACGTAAGAGTCCTTACGAGACCCTTGTTACATTGCCCTGTGCAGCGTACGCCTACAGAGTTGACCCACAGGGGCATCCTGCATTCATGGTCATTACACATGCTCCTCTCCACTTGCCACCATGAACATGACAACTCCTTGAGGGTTGGGATATTACACCTCTTTGATGCTCCCACCTCTTTGGAGCCTTCCAGGTTGGCTCAGTAATTTGAAGGGAAGTGAGGAAGATATTTGGCAGAGGGGTGCAGAGAGCCTTGCCATCCCCCTACTCCTGTACCGCTGCCCAGCCTGCAAATGCTAGCTTTGTAAGGGACACCAGAAGAACAGAAGGCACTGTCCCTGCCCAGGGGTCCATCAGGAGCCCAGTCCAAGGCAGGAAACTATTAGCAGAGAGCTGAGAAAAGCATGTCCATGTACACATGAGCGTGAGGCGCGGGAAGATGCAACTGGCTTATAGGGTCCTGTGTTTGGGGTTAATTTCTTTAAGAGTAATCCAAAGACATCAGACATTGTGATTACCAGGATGGGCTTTCTTGTCTCCTTCTTATTACCCAGATGTACGGTGGCCAGTGGAAGGCCATTAACTGCCTGTTAGAAGGCCAGAAAAGATGCTTAGCATCTTCTCTGATCTAGGAAGAGTTCTGCCAGCTCCCACTATGTGACCCTTTCCCCCTCTTCCTGCCCTCCTCATCAGCCCACAGCTGCTTTCCAGGGCTTGGTGTCTACGAGCTCCTGGTGACTCCTCTTGTCTGTCTCCTTGTACAGAAATGGAAGCTCCACTCAAGGAGGCGCCGGGAGGCCCCAAAGACATCTCCAGGATGTAACTGCCCGCCAGGTAAGCAGCCCTGCAAACAGGTGACAGTGGGTGTTCCTAGGACTGAGACCAGAGGTTCTTCCTGGTGGCCATGCTCTAGCCACACCTCACTCAGGCCATCACTTTTCATTTGAAAGACAGGAGTGACAATATCTGTGGCTGCCTTCTATCTACTCACTGATTGGCCTGCCTGCCCGGCATCCATCAGTCCACCCACCATTCATTTGTTCATAGAGTCTTTTATGGGCCTGATACTCTTTGAACCAGGTTGTGTGGAAGTCACATAAGATGATGGGCATGGCTGTTTTGAAAGTTATGAAGTGCTATGCAGTGTCAAAGGGACCATCAGCCCCCCAAGGGGAGGCACCTTGCTTGCTGTGTTCATCATTGTGTCCCCAGCTTCCCAGGTATACAAAAATGTTTGTTACCTGAATGAATGACCCCATAATTGTAAGACCTTATTTTCTATAGCTAGCTGGATTAGGGCAATGCATGTTCACTATATGGCCTCTAGGCTACATGCAACACACACGTGCTTACATGCAAGGAATGAAGGCACAAGCCAAAGGTTGCAAGACAAGGCTGCGTAATACAGTGAACTGGTCTAATCTAGAACAAAAACCTGCTTTTGCCACTTACTAGCTCTGTGTGGGCAGACCCCTGACCTGCCTATTCTAGCACTTTCCTCTGTATCCTTGGGCCTGCTCCTCAACTGTGTCTATTATCTGTGTAACAGCTATGTACTAAGGACCTGCTGGGCACAATGCAGTGTGTTGGGTTCAAGTACATTGTACACCATGAATGCAAATGATAAGTTACAGCTTAAGAGAACTTTTCTAGGTGCCTGTTACTTTTCTAGGTGCCTGTTATTGTTAAGCCATGAGAATGACAGATGAGGAACTTTCACTGTTTCCTTGAGGAACTAGAATGGGCTGTACCTCTTTGGGGGTGGGGAAGGAAGGCCTAAAGAAGAGCTGGGGAAGACAAGGTATCACATTTAAGTAATGGCAGAGAGTTTTGGTCTGCTACTGGCCTCTGCCAGCTCAGCGTGTGGCCTCCTCAATACCCATGGTGGCAGGTGGCATTTGCAGGGTGCTCACTAGGCTCTCTGGCAGGCCTTCCTCTGGCCCCAGAAGCCAAGGGGCTCAAGTAACCCTCATCAAGGTCCCCAAGCCAGGGAAGAGAGGCCGACAGATGTTAAGCATATGGGAAACAAGGGACCGCATTTGCTGGAGAGTGAATGGACTGTGGTGGGAGTCACAGTTACAGGATGCTACCCTGGGAGACAAGGAGACCGTGAAACGATTCAGCTGGACCCGGTGAGAAGAGGGTCGTCTGGGTTAATTAAAAAGGTGTCCAGAAGCCCTGGGAAGTTCCCTCCCTCCCTCTGGGCCCTGAAGATTGGGTCCGGGGGTCTGGGAAAGCTTTCGGGAGAGGAATGCCAAGATTAATGAGATGGGGTGGAGGTGAGGGTTGGGTGATGGGGCCTGGGCAGAGAGACCATTTGCATCAGGGCTGTGGGGCAGCCCATGTTTCCAAGGATCGTATCTGTTGCCCTTATAACTCTTGGGCAATGACAACAGATTTTTGCTCAGCATATAGAATGCTGGTTAAGGGCAGGATATTTGGAGCCATAGAAAATGTAGGTTTGAATTCCATTTCCAACATGGACCAGCCTTATAACCTTCAGAGAGTTATTTAACTTCTTTGTGCCTCAGTTGCCTTGTCTGAAAACAGGGACAATAGACACCAGGAAGGTAGAGATTCCTCGAGATAATCCTGGAAACTGCTTAGCATCTTCTCTGATTCCTAGTAAGCATGATTATTGTTATTTTCTCAACTGCCTCTCGCACTTCAAAGATGCAGAGGAATCCTTATCAAATACCATGTCCTAGTGTTGGGGACACATTTGTGACCAGGCAGAGGCTTGCCTTTCTCCCTTTCCTGCCTCACTGGGGAAAGCACATCAGTTATCTGGTGACCTTCAAGTGTCCTGTCCATCATCAGAGTGGGTGGCTCTCAATAGGTTTCAATATTGTGCTTCAGAAAGTCGGGCTCAGGTAGTCCTGGGAGGCTGGGAGCTGGGGAGGAATGTGGCAGGTGGGGGAAGGACTTGGAAGAGTGCTTCTCTTCTCCCTGCCTGCTGGGAGTCTGTGCGGAACCCATGGGTCCTGGGCAGTGAGGAGAAGACCATGAAGCAACTCAGAGGGTCGGGGGAGGAGGAAACACCATGGGGAGAAGAAAGGGCTTGACACTGGTCCTCAGCAGGGACTGAGTTGGCCAGGCGTTGAGGGAGAGTGAGCAGGGGCTCCTGGGAGGGATAGCTCTGCATGTTGAGAATTTCTCAGAAGGCAGTTTGACCCAAAGCATACACTAGAGCCAGTGGGCAACACCCGAAGAATTTAAACACAAGGCCCCAAACTCAGGCAAAATCAGAGGGAACTAAGATGCTCTTCCAGCTTTTTGTAACTGAGGAAGGGAAGGACTGGAATGGCCACACAGAAGCATCTCACGTCATGGAATCACAGCGAAATCTCCTAGGATGGGCTGGGTCCTGCTGGGTCCCCTGCCCTGCCTCTCTCTGACCTGAGGCTTCTCATGCCTTGGTATAGTAACCTTCTCAACACCAAACCCAACCTATTATAAATAATAGCAGTTACTGCCACTGTGTCCCACTTGAGCACCTACTATGTGCCAGGCACAGGACTGAGCACTTCATGTGCATCGGTAACCCTCCTCAAAATACTAAAAGTAGGTAGAAGGGAGTTCAGTTCTGACACTTTGGAATGTTTGAACATCCTCAAATTTGCAAAGAGAACATCACTGTCGTTCTTGCCCTTACATCATGCATTTCTGATTATTTCCTGATGGTCGGAGTTTATAAACCACTTTAAGGCTCCTGATCCTCACAGAAGGACTCATACAATTGTCAAGTGCCACATGCAAATCCAAAGCTTGATTCACTTGTGCTTTGCCAGCACCTAATACTGTACCCCATACATAGTAGATGCTCTGTGAATGTTCAATAAATGAGCATCAGTAGTCATTGCTGATGACTGGCTGCTTCCTGGTGTTCTCCCTCTGCCATCAGATTGGTTTCAGACACCTTATCCCCCACCCCACCCCAAATCTTGCCTGATGCTGAATTCACTGCTATTGGGACAAAACAAACACACTCTTCCTGGCCACTGTGGTTGCTGAGATGAAAGCCTGGATCCTCAAACCGGTGCCTGCCCTCTGTGGCCAGCTAGGCCAAGCCGGAGTCCTGTGGTGGGTGTGTTCTTCCTTGTGGCAGCCTTGGGCCCCTGGGCGGCACCCAGAAGGCCTGGGACACATAATCATGGGCAGAAAACCTGCCTCTTTCCCTTTCTATCTGACCTTGCCAGTATCCTCCTGGGATCCTCCCTGTCCAAAAATAGCCATCTACTGGCTAAGATCTGGCTGTATCCTGCTTCTGGGCTGCATGCGCTGTTTGCCAAGGGAGTGATGGGCTTGCAGGCCTGAGAGGGATGCCAAAGGTCAACCCTCAGTTAGGAGGGTCATGGCTGCTAGAAGTTCAGAGGAATAGGTGTGGGCCATTTGCAAAGCATATGGCCTGGTGGAACAGAAGAAGGGTCTTGGGAACAGATATACATACCGTGAGACTTCCTAGGCCACTTGAGAAAAATACAAAGACCAAGGAAACTTTCCCATTCTCTGTCCCTTTTCTTATTAACAAAGGAGGAGCAGGACATTATAGGTCTAGCCAGCAAGGAAGCAGCTACTTCAGGCCCGCCGCACTGGGGCTGGGTGGGGCTGGCCTCTGTCAAGTCCAGGGTGGGGCAGGCAGTGTGAAGGATGACAGGTTTTTGCACCCAGAGGGAAGAATGGCTGGCTCAGCTGCTAAAGGAAATCACTTCGCTGTCTGAGCCTCATCTCCAAGGGAAAAGGTAGGCCAGAGTTATACACTGAATGCCAGGCCAAAGGGCTTGGACTGCAGCAGTGGTGGCATGGGGGTGATGTGGTCAGGCTTGTGCACTAGCGCCATGACCAGCACTGCAGAGAGGATGGATGAAAGCAGAGAAGTCGCCTTCAGCCAGCCTAATGGGAGAGGCCACAGCTGCCTTCCGGGTCAGTGCGCTGGTGAGGGGTGCATGAAGTGTCCAGGAGCCAAAGGAGCTGGGGGCTCTGGGAAAACTTCACCGAGGAGTGGCCTTGGAGGTTGTTCATAAGGATCAAATAAGCAAGTGGGAAAGCATATCGTTAGGGCATCATAGACTCCCTATGGCGTCTGCATAGACATCATAACAAGAGACCACCAAATACAAGGACTTAGACAAGGCAGAGGTGGAGGTCTTCCTTCTGCCATGTTGATCTTGTGGCATCCTCCTCTGGCAGGTGCTTCGGTTCTCGCCACCCCATGACCAGCACGAAAGGGGAATGGGACAAGTGGAGTATGTGCTCAAACCCTCAAGAGCCAAACTTGAAAAAAGAGACACAGATCACTTCTGCTCCCATCCCATTGGCCAGAACTTAGTCATGTGGTTACCCCCAGGTTCAAGGGAGGCCAGGCAATATTTTTTGTGGGTGGCAATATGCCCAGATAGAACTTTATTATGATGGTGGGTGGGAGAACAGATTACGAAGAACAACTAGCATACTGCGCAGAGGACATTCCAGGCTGGCTGAGGGACTGTCATGGACAAAATCTCTGAGGAGCGAGATAAAGGCAGTAAGTTTGGGAATGACATGCAGTTGAAGAAATCTGGACCACAGAGCAGTAACAAGACATGAGGGTGGGAGGAGATGTCAAGACTGCAAAGGGCCAGGCTGAGGCTGCCTGACTCTGTCTGTCCAGTAGGAGGCAAATGATTTCATCCAGAGGGTGATTGATTGGTAATGGCTGACTGATTGACTGGGGGACTGTGCTGAGTCAACTTCTGAGGCTGTATCCAGGTTCAGCAGAAAATGTGGTAATCACTTATTGATGTCTGCTCTGCATGCAGGAATGGTGGAGAGCATTGCCTCTGCCCTGGCTGTGC